CTTCATCATACCTATATTGGCTCACCATCATCATAACTATATTGGCTCACCGTCCGAGTTTAAATTTGATATTTCTATGTTATTTCTATGTACGTCAATATTAAAAACCAGGCGTACATGTATCACGGTGCCAATAGTGCGTCTTGAAACATCAGGCTTGTACTAGTTAAAACAGGCTTGTACAAGAGACTACAGTATAAACCATGGCTGCCTTGAGTTTCTTTGGATTAGACTTTTTCAAATTTTCATTTTGATTTCATCGTCGAGTTTCATCCCTTGTATCTTTGGTTTTCTTCCTTCTTTCCATGTCGTATTGTTTGAATAAACCCGTTTTGAGATGAACCATGTCATGATAGCAAGAGTACATAAACCGTTTATGTACTCATCGGATGATAGCCTAAACTGTTGCTGATGCAGCTTGTCATCAAGGTACAGTACTATTGACAGTATTGTTCTCATGTATAATCATTGCCTTGGCCTCTCACATAATCATTGTTGTACATCACTGCGAGCTGCCCTCTTCGACTTTTGGACTGGCCGTCTGTCACGTGGTCACTGGATCGTGAGGTGTAGGGATCGGGAGTGCGTCCCATGATCTGTTTGATCCGCCTCATCGAGGTTCTGGCACCGACCATCCGTCCGGCGTGCAAGTCTAGTCTGAGTATACCTACCCTGTTCTGACGACGTCGGTCGATCTCTTCTTCCCTGGCCCTCGCTTGACTCTTGACGTCGTGTCCAACTAGAGACGGAACGGGAGGCTCTCAGTCCGCTATCTGCTCGTATCTCACTGCCGTTTCGCTTGGGGGTGACTGTGAAGTTGAAGACGGGATACGAAAAGTGTGACTATCCTGAGATTCAGTTACTCACACTACAGCAGTCAACACGGTCGTTCTTTCATTGACGGTTTCCCATTTCATCAATTTTCTTACGTTTCCTTCCTTTCTAGCGATAATTTGACCGAGACTTGGAGTCTTGCTTCGCAGTCTTTCCATACAACCAACTGCAACTTGAGCAGGATGATCGGGATTTTCGTGATTGTGGCGATCCTGCTACGAGCCAGCGTAGCAACACCACTGCCTGCAGCTGCCAGTGCTAGCATTATGGATTTTGGTGCCGTTGCCAATTCGAACACGGTGAGCGCAGCCCAGGCGAACTCCAAAGCAATCGAGGCGGCGGCCAAGTCGGTGACGGCGGCTGGCACGGGCGGAACGGTGGTGGTGCCGGACAACCAGACCTTCTACATTCACCCGGTGTCGCTGAGCGACCTGCACGGCCTGACACTGGAGCTATCCGGTGAGCTCCGCGCGCACAACAACATCTCGGCGTGGCCTCGGGATGCTGGCAACAATACGGAGGATGTGATCAGCATTGATCAGTGCACCGAGTTCACGTTAACCGGCACCGGCACACTGGACGGGCAGGGCTACGACTGGTGGTGGTGGGCGATCCTCGGCGGCTTCTCCAAGCTGTGGCACGACGACAGGCCTCACTTGATGCGCATCAAGCGCACCAAGGGCATCGTACTCGAAGGAATACAGCTGCGAAACAGTCCACAGTTTCACGTGAAGCTGGACGACTGTGCAGACCTGGTGGCAAGGCACTTGTCGATCTACGTGGACGTGGATCTGCAGAAGTCGATGCTCCGGCAGCACGGATTACTCCGCCGCAGCGTGGGCACGACTGCGGACGGGCGAGAGCGCGACATCGAGATACCCATCTTCCCGCTGAACACGGACGGTTTCGATCCGTCCGTGAACGGGGTGCACATCTACAACGTGACGATCGAGAACTTTGACGACGCGGTGGCCGTGAAGCCATGCAACACCGATCCCGGGCACCTGTACTGCAACTGCAGCAGCAACATGCTGATAGAAAACTCAACGGTTCGCCTCGGCGTTGGCATGACCATTGGATCGGTCCCTCCGAACGATAACGTGAACTGCGTTGAGAATATACTCTTCCGCAACATCGTCTTCCACGAGCCGCTGAAAGGCGTCTACATGAAGACGAATCCGGGCGATCACGGGTCCGGCGTCATACGCAACGTAACCTACGAGAACTTGGAAATCATCGACCCGGTCTGGTGGGGCATCTACATCGGGCCGCAGCAGCAGGAGCAGCCCGACGGCGGCGGGCCCGGCTGCATGACGTACCCGCTGGAGCCGTGCGAAACGCAGCCGCGCGTGCCCATGGACGCCATCACGCTGCGCAACGTGGTAATGAGCGGCGGCATCAACCCCTTTGCCGGCGTCGTCCGCTGCAACGAGTCGCGTCCGTGCACCAACTTTCTGTTCGAGAACGTGCACGTCAAGGAGGCCCTGGACACGGAGAACTACATCCTGGAGTACGTGGAGGGCACGGCCATCGACTGCGCACCCGTCCCAAACTTTGCACCAAATCCCAGTGCACTACCGCCAGTGGAGGATCAATCCAGGAATGAGGCACGCCAACAGGAGCCGTCCAAGCACACGAAGAGATTACATGTCGGTCAGCGCCGTGAGAAGCATCGCCTCCTGAACAGATTATGACGTCGCCAGTCTGACGGACGGGCACTTCCGGCACTTTGACAATAATGGCCGAGTACAGGAGCTGTGAACGTGCCCAGACAAAGCAAATTTATGGAAACATTCAGTGATCCTGATACCCCCTCCTCGTTTTTAGTATTTATTTGCCTAGTTGTGGTGCTGTGCTCATTTAACTTTTCCTGGCATTTCACATACTGATCTTGCTTCTGAAGTATGTTGCCTTGCAATCCCAAACCACAGCTTTTGGAGGAGTTCACATTCCCCAAGAGCACACTACTCTAGACGTGGATGGGTCTGGTGCTATTCACTGGCCATGGCCACATTTGTCATGAAGTGAAAAGTCAGCTGGGCCGTTGGGTCAGGATCGCTCTGCTATGGCTTCCAGTTTTCAAGTACATGTTTAGGCACTTTGGAAAGCGTGTGTGTGTGTGTGTGTGTGTGTTTGTGTGTGTGTGTGTGTGTGTGTGTGTGTGTGTGTGTGTGTGTGTGTGTGTGTGTGTGTGTGTGTGTGTGTGTGTGTGTCATATGGTGCAGTGGTATGTGCAGTCGATTTCCAATCGAGAGGTTGCGGGTTCAATTCCCGACAATTATGGTCGCACACATCTTTCTTCTCTTTCTCATTCTCCTAGCTCTTCTTTCATTCTCCTGGGTGGTTACCAACAGCCAGTGTATGCCGGAGTATGTGATATGGGGTGTGTGTGTGTCGAAGAAGAAAAAAGAAAACAAAGAAAAAGACAAAAAAAAGAAAAAATAGGGATTCTCTGGCCAGAAAAAACCACTTCAATCAGCTGTGTGGTGGATACCAGGCTAAAAATTAGTGGCAGTCAATTCATCAGCCTTGCAAGCTGTTGAATAGTGTAATCCCAGGACTAGTTGCTATGTCTAACATAGCTGTTCGCTATCATTGCTTCTGCGAGGGGTAGGTCTGAGGTCTGAGGTGTGTGTGATGTGTTACAGACATGTCCTGCTTTGGAATTTACCATGCTATGTGTGAGTCACTGTGCCCATGTCGAAGGGAAACTGAACTCCAGTGATCTTTTAGAAGTACGTACACGTACCAGGGAAACGTTGTCAGTATCTTACAGCACCTACCACCTTACCTACAAAGGTGAGACATTGCGAAATCTGTGTTTTGCAGAAGTTCCAGCGCTTCGCGAACCTTAGCATACGCACCCGATCCCAGTCCAGTCATCCATCGAGTGAAGCCTTCAACACTTCCATTTCACGGGTATAACCACTACACATTCTATTCACGCAGAAGGTTGTCTTGTCACCCTTTGGTCCGGTTCCTGCCTGAATCCTGGACTCTGCAGAGCCCGTGTACACCATGTACATGTAGGCTGCTCTCCGCACAGTCTTCCCACATACACTACATGTATGTCCATTGTAGCTGTGGGGGGGGGGGGGGGGGGGCAACGCCTGACTCTCTAAACCAACCTCATGACCAGTCCTGGTGATGTCCTAGATAGGACATCACGGAACCCAGCATGCCCCAGCATACATACTATGCTGTTCCCATAGTAATCGTGACACGTGACTCAAAACTTTGTGTCGCGTCCGAGGAAGATGAACATGTCCCACTCAAAACAAACGCAACGAAGGCCTTTCGTCTCAAAAGTAATTATTACAATTATGTAGTTGTCGTTCTCCTGGCGGCTTGCCTCAAGCGAGTCGAGATTCGTATCTTGCCTCTTACCTTCACGAATTTTATTTTCCTCGTTGTGGAGTACGCCTGGACAAAGGAACTGGCAAGCGAATCGTTTTGGTCACATTGAAAATTGCACACACAAGAGGATTGGCGAAGCAATTTGTGTTCGCACTTTCAGCAGAGCAGTAGCTGCTGCTGCGATAAAGTTTTTACTTTCGCCATTGGCTTCAGGCAGCAGAAGGATCTGGCTGAAAGCGATGGCGATACGTCCATGACCACCACGTCCTGGGTTGATATCCAAGAAAGACCGTCCAAGGTCCAGTTTTAGCCAAGAGCTGTCGTATCCAAGAAATCAAAAACGCCAACAGCAAGCTTTGGCCAAATAATATCTTCCAGGCAGTAATTTACGGGCCTAGCGCCTGCTGGCTCGTCTTCCTCCTCTGCATGGCCAGGTTTGGGGCGAAATGAACGCACGGGGCGTGAACATGGTGAAGAAACATTCCAAAGGCAAAATATTCAAAATATTAGAACCAGTCGTTTCCAAAGAAGCGCCGCGTGGCTACGAGAAACCCCACATGAAATCTCCAAACGAAAACGGCCATTCGGTCGGGTATTCGATGGAGAATCGAATATACACTACCTCAATCCCCGCCGATGTCTGATATTCTCCGCCTATTCCCTCAAACTTGACCAATTCGGAAAGAAATCCATCGCCATTACGATCGTGCATCCTCCACATACATTCAGAAATGCTCACGCAGCACTTCTTTTCATCGCGTGTGCGCGACCGAGGCTTCCATGACAACTCTGGGACAGGTAACCAATCAGACTCATTCAGAGTGCGATGTCCTAGATAGGACATCTCCCCGACTGATGACGGTAGCACAAAATAATCATGCGGGGAATTTTAAGGGGGCTCAACCCCGAAGAGGGAGCAAAAAAAATTATGGTAAATCGATCTGAACTGTGTGTTTTCAGATGGCCAGACACCTAGAGAACTGGTCTGGGCTATTTCAAGGATAGGTTTATTATGTGGTTCCCCAGCTATGGGGGTGTTATTGTACCTATGTTTTTCGGCAAAAATTCAATGATTTCTCACTAAAGGCGTAAAATTCCAGTTGGTAATACTTCAAAAATCCTGAAAGTGGGTATGGAGGGGCCTACAATACTGTCTTCTTTGGAAAATGTCCACAACATATGCCCAGACCACTGTGAGAGGCCAAGGTAGCCCAGAATGTGATTTGGCAAAACGCGTATTTCAGCAGACCGGACTTTAGACTTGTTTGAATAGTGGAGAATCGAGACAATAACATGGTCAATTTTATGGTCATTATCTGCTCTTCAAGGCCATAGGAAGGCTCTACAAAAATAGATTTTTATGTCTACCATCTCGTTTCTCCGTGAGAAACAAAATTTGTGACGGATTTTGCATATTCAGCTTGAAAGTCAGATTCAGCATTGTTGCCAAAATGAGTGTATCGACTTCATTCAAGCTTCACTTTGACTATGTAGGGCGAGAAGCATTTGCTATAGACCAATCCCAGACAATACCACATGCAACAGTCACAACTGAATTGTGTTATTCACATCTTTGTTGTATATTGTGATGTACATACATAATATAATGTACATACATACATACATGCATGGGTATATCAAATGTACAAAACAACGGATTATAAGTATAACGCTGTCAATGAGCAACTTGAGTTGCTTGGTTACTGCTGGATGCGATGGCTAGCAGCCACTGTTGGTATTGTGGGTTCGCGCCTCCAGTGTGCAGCACAACGTGAATGTTTGAGCAGATAACTGCAGCATCATCACGAGTGGTAGAAAGTGGGGACGATGCTGCACCTCCTGCAGCTGCTGGAGTACTTGTGCGGTCTGGAGCAGTGTGTAAAATAGGGGTGTTGGTGTTGGGTCTTCCAGATGCTAGATGATGTGTTATGCGTTTTGCAATAGCAGAACTCATTGTGACTAGCACACGCCCATCGCCACCCGGTTCGTGCAATAATCCAAGGATACCAGTTCCCTGATTCCTCTCAAATGCCAACACCAGATGATTGTACCTGTAGGCATGATATATAACGTTGTTGTTGTTGAAGAATATTTAGACTTCTACAAACACCCATGTTGCAGCGAAACGCCCACTCCAGCTTGTTTGCTGAGACTGTGACAGAAGCCTGACTAGTGCTGCAATGTGTACTGCTGTGATTCATGATTTCAGTTGACATTCCTTGCCTTGCCTTGCCTGGGTAATATTGCAGTTCTTCACAACATGCATAACACAATTTTATGCTGCATTTACAGTCTAGTTCAAGGCCGAGCTCATGAAAATGTGGCAACTTGACCATGCATAATATTACGTGTCTGTGACTGTCTCTGCTCAAGTTGTTCTACAAGGCATATTGCCAATATTTCAATATTCAGTTTTATAATATATACAGATTCCTGTCATAGTTCAATGATACAAGCACAGCCATACTACCTTTAACCCACAGCCTTCTCCTGAGAAACACAGGCACAGGTCAGAACTCACCCAGTGCAGCCTTAGAGTTCATAGGATCAATGCTTTCCACTCCATCCAGCATGAGACTCACATGTCTGACCAAATTCTCCTGCCCACACATAGAACACTTCACTGGCATGTCGCTGTGCTGTTCCTACTGGCTGTTCCAGACCACACTCATTACTCACAGAGATCAAGTCTCTACTTGCAGACACTACACTCTGACTCCACTATCTCCAGGTACTGCAGGTACAAGACCAGTTTTTCTCTCACAGTCGTCAGTAATATTTTTATCTGGCGACTGGAAAAGAAAAAATAGATATCGTTCCAAGTGCCACTCAAGTGGATGCACTTGAACTTGAGAGAAGCATGTCACTTACCTGCGTTCTGAGACTGATACATGTATCATTGGTAGCTGGGCTCTGGACAATCTTGCAGGTTTACTTGTCTTCACTGGCAGGCGAGACTGAGAAAAGGGCATATCTGAGCTGGAAGTTAGAACTACACGACCTGAAGAAGATTGAACACGCTTTGGTCCTGAGCGCCCACGAAAACGGCCGTGCCTATTGATAACTACAAGTACTTGACACGAAGCTCCATAGCTCCATCGATCGCCGACATCCAGCAAACCAAAATGGAAAACACAAAACGTTCAAACTGTTCAAGGACTGCAGTTTCTTTGAATTCTCGCAAAATAAACTTTTGAACACGACTATTTCTCGCAAAAAAACTTTCTCCAGCCGCGGACAAAATGTTTTCAAACGCGAAATTTTGCATAAAATCATGCCCAGATTTCGATGCGCGCGCAGAAGTACTGAATTTTTTTCTGAAAAATAATGCCTTTCGGAGTGGAAAAATGGGACGCGATCATGCACAGAAAATAGTTTGACCATGACTTCGCAGTGCTCGAGTCGAGACAAGATTTGAGGAAGAAGCTCAGCCACTAGTGGACTTGCGGCTTTGTTTTGACATTGGCGGTTTTTGGATAGCTCGGTTCTCCTGCCGACGTGTCCTGGAGATGAAGACGCGGGAGAGTAATCCGTCACCCACGACGCGGCCTCTCATTCTGCGTACTGGACGATGCAAGAAGCCGAGGAGGGGGACGCTTCGCAAACTCAAACGATCGATCGAGTTCCTGAAAAACGGAAAGGGCGATCTCCATCACTAACGCCACTGGATTCGACTCCCGCGAAGAGGTCGTTCAGTGCCCCTCTTCACGGTCGACGAATCGTTCATCT